TGCCTGCTGGGTGGTTCGGGTTTTTCCCGTTCCAGCGAATGGTTCGGTGGCAGTGTTCCAGGACGTGGTGGATTTTCACCTGGCAAACGTTCTCCCTATAAAAAGCCACATATATCCGTTTAACAAAACTGTGACGTGGAGGATGTGACTCGCCACTAAATAAAGTCACTGCCCCTTGCCCCTCTCTGAGAGACATTGTATTTTAAGGGTGAGTTGGGCCCCTGGTCCTTCACGGACCGAAAGGCGTGTGAACCATCTACTTGGTCACCGGCTCCCAACGGGTTGCGACGCCTTCACATCGCCCTGCTGCCTTGTAGGATAGATCTTTGATCAAAGGCTCGGGGTAGGGCCCCCTAAGACAAACCTCTACTTCGGCCTTGGCAACCGGGTAGTATCACGCCCACTGACGAATCATGGACTACACCGCTCACTATTGCTACTGCTATGCCTCTTCTGTCCTAACTCAACCGCTCAACCTCCACTCACATACCACCTCACCTCCCGTCCTTCACCTACATGTACTCTTATGTCTTCTACGGTCACCGTCACAAACGACCCACGTCTCGCAGCTGATGGAAGTAACAGCCAAACTCCCGGTTTTCAATGTCCTGCGATCGCAACCGCCTCTTACTCCACCGAAGCTCCAGCTCTTCTTCGACCTGGTTCTCCATTCATCCTCGCAGCGTTTAATGTTCGAACTTTGATGTAGATCGCACGACAAGCATGTCTGGCCCGTACTCTTGAAACGCTATCGGTAGACATCTGTTGTCTTTCAGAGACCAGATTACAAGACTCTAGCGCCGTCATCAGAATGGCCTCTCCGGTAAACTCTGACGCCAAATACTACTTGCGGCTTTCCGGAGACCCAGAATCTGCCGCCACTGGTCAAGCTGGTGTTGGGGTTGTATTAAGTGCCAGGGCTGAGTCAGCTCTGCTTGACTGGATCCCAGTCAACAGTCGGCTATGTGCAGTCAGACTAAGAGGTTCATGTAACGTAAGCAGGCGTCGAGATGTTAAGCGTGCCTTATTTGTCGTCTCCGCCTACGCCCCTACAGACTGCAGCCCGGATGCAGTTAAAGATAGCTTTTACCAACAACTACATGAACTTCTGCGTTCCTCCAAACGGACGGATATAGTCATTCTTGCCGGGGACTTTAACGCACGGGTTGGCCGCCTTCCACCAAGCGAGCACCACCTTGGGGGTAGTTTTAGTCTCTATGGCAGTCGATCAGACAATGGAGACAGACTACTTGCTCTTTGCTATGATCATCGCTAGTTTCTTTCGAGCACTAGTTTTTGACACTCGAGGAGACACACTGCTACCTGGCGCCCGCCCTCACAAACGCAAGAGTGCTTTTAGCTTGACCACATAGCAATCAGCTACAGATGGCGCGGAAGCGTAACGGACTGCCGATCGTACTGGTCAACTTTTCTAGACTCTGATCACGCATTGGTTCGTGCTAAGATTTGCATGCGTTTCGGAGGATCACCTAAGCGCGCCCACTACCGACCGGACGTCGCAAATCTACAAAACGCTGCGATTTTAACCAGGTACCAAGCCTCACTGTCAACCTTGCTTGGCTCAACTATTGACCGTGATCTCGATTCGCAGTGGGCGCATATCAAAGATGCTTTAGTTTCCGCCAGTGTCGACACTTGTGGAGTTACCCGTCATCCACCGAAACATTGGATTTCCGCCGACTCCTTGTCGCTGATGGACAGACGCCGCTTGATCCCATCGGATTCCAGACACAGTGAGGAACACCAATACCTTGGTCGAGAGTTGCGCAGGAGTCTGCAAATGGAAAGCGAAGCTTGGTGGTGTGAACATGCTAGGGAGATGGAGCTTGCTAGTCTCTGTGGTAATACCAGGAAACTCTTCCATCTCCTTCGAGTCACCGAAGGTGTTCGATCTGGTATAAGTGAAACAATTTGCGAACAGGATGGCACCTTAATCACCAATCTTCAACGACGGTTGGAGCGATGGGCCGAAAATTTTGGCTCGCAGTTTTGTTGGCCCCCAGCTCCATCTGCTACATCTGGCGCTCGCGCTGGGGCCGAGTGGTCTGCCTCCACAGATCCTCCCTCTTCCCATGAAATCGAGCAGGAGCTCCGGCACATGAAGCGTTATAAAGCCCCCGGCCCTGATGGTCTTCACCCAGCTCTATTTAAAGATGGTGGCGCATCGCTGGTCCGAGAACTCACCGTTTTGTTCTCGAAAATTTGGTCGAAAGAGAAAGTTCCATCTTCTTGGGGTGAATCGATAGTCGTCCCCATCTTCAAAAAGGGCCTGCGCACAATCTGCTCCAACTACAGAGGAATAAGTTTAGTCCCCGTCGTTTGCAAGCTGCTGGTGTCCATCATACTTCGCAGGCTATCCCCAACACGCGAATCGTTGCAGCGAGAAGAACAAGCTGGGTTTCGCCCTGGTCGCGGCTGCATCGATCAAATCTTCACACTTCGCCAGATCCTCGAGCTCCGCCATGTGTATCAGAGGCCAACGATTGCTGTGTTCCTGGATATCCGTGCAGCCTTCGATTCTGTCGATCGTACAGTACTGTGGCAGTGCCTTCTGAGGAACGGTGTCCCCGAGAAGTTCGTCTCCATACTGCGCGCTCTATATAGTCTGACCTCGGGCAGGGTTAGGGCTTATGACATGCTTTCGCCTACCTTTGTGGTCTCCAGTGGAGTTCGACAAGGATGCCCTATCTCTCCGTTCCTATTCAACTTTGCCATTGAGGATGTCCTGAAGAACGCTCTGAGCGATTCGTTGAACGCTGGCGTTGAGCTCATTCCAGGTAGTCGAGTTGTTGATTTGGATTATGCTGATGATATCGTCTTGCTGGGTGACGATCCACAGGTCGTCCAACTTGCATTAAACCGCTTGACGATTGAAGCATCAAAGTACGGTATGTACTTTTCGCCATCCAAATGCAAGGCTCTCCTTCAAGACTGACAGGTGCCTCTGCCTGCACTCACGCTTGCTGGTGAGACACTAGAGGTTGTGGAGAGCTTTGTCTACTTGGGAAGTTGCATCACTGCTGGCGGGGCTGTTGGATACGAGATTTCGATGCGCATCTCGAAAGCACGCCTCGCATTTTCTAGGCTGAGGCAGTTGTGGCGTCGCCACAACATTCGTCTCTCCATCAAAGGGCGGGTCTATTGTGCAACTGTTCGTGCTGTACTGTTGTACGGATGCGAGACCTGGCGCAGGCTATCCCTCTTGGAGCACCGCTGTCTGCGGTCCATTGCCCGTGTGTGGTGCCAGCATCACGTAAGCAATTTAGAAGTTAGACAGCGTGTCTTGGGACGTGGAAGCCACTCGCTCGCGGAGCTCGTCTCACTGCATCAACTGCGGTGGTTGGGACGTATTGCGCATGCCTGTCCAGCGTTCCCCCCGTCGTGCGTTGTTTGGACTTGCTGGACAGGGCTGGAAGAGACGGTCTGGTGGACAGCCTACAACATGGAGAAGCCGCATGAAAAAGTTGACGAAACAGTTGGCCTCGGCCGGTTGTTGTCGACTTCCTGGTTGGGGTCCGAGAGAAGAGGATACTTGCTGGTTGAAGACCTTGGAAGTTATGGCTCATGATCGATGTCAATGGCGGACGTGTGCATCGGTTTGTTGCGGTGTCCCTTCTTCCTCCCCTTAAAAAAAGAACAAACTGAAAAAAATTCAAAAACTGTGAGTGATAAGATAAACAAAGAGAGATTTGTTGTTGCTCTTTTCTTATTATTCATATTGTTTTCCTATTCAGCCATGATTCCGATGGCACAATATTTGTACCACAGATTGTGTATATATATATATATATATATATATATATATATATTGTTTGGTCTTTTGATCAAACCCATATTCACCAATCTTTATGCAGATGGGAGTGTGTTCTGTTCCTCTTCGGCGATCTATTCGGTCTCCTGTTTCCACTTTAGTAAACTTCACTTAGGCATGACTGCTTGTTATCCCACATGTTCCCAGACTGTGTAAATTGGTCTCGTGAGCTTGTTGTGGTGACGCAGTACTCATTACGATCCGATGTCCTGCTAAGAGAAAGGCGCCACATGTATATTTATCTTCTGCTGACATACCTTCTCCACTCCGAAAAATTCTCTTCATTCAACGTGAAACAATTACGGACAGTGAGCGGAATTATTTCCAAACACTCGTTATGTGCATGCATTGCAACGCGCAAGCTCAATCTGGGCGCCAATTCCCTTTAAAGTGAACATCGATCGATTCGACCGCTGGACTGTATCTGCAGCAGATAATCACAAGGGGACTGAACTCAACAAGTACTGTCAGTTCGTCGCAATCAGACTCAGTCTGACAGCTGCCACACATCCAGAAAGGCGCTAGGCATCCACAGTATGCCGTTACTGCGTACCGGCGCTTCGCTGCCACGCGACCACTGCCGGTCATGCGTGAGCTAAGTATACAGCGAGGACACCATCCTACGCGGATTTAAGATTTCAGCCGAGTGTGAAACTGATCGTTGTGTGCAGTGTTGCGAGCTGGTGGCACCTAGCATTTATCTGCGCCCGATTGACTGAATTGGCTAAGATTCACCGATTAAGATTATGTCTCAGACCGTCTACACGAGTGTTTCAAAATGATCCCTAAATAGTTTGATCAGCTGGCAAGTGTAATCATTGACTTCAAGTTCAGCCAATCTGCAATTGGCTGGAGGCGTCGCGTAGATTTTTTGAACATCCAGGGAAGCTATGGGGTCCTCTGTCGAAGACTATTAATCCGGTGCTTTTTGATATCGTTTTGTTCGGGTAACTCTATTGTATTTCACAATTTCTGTTGCTAGCTTCCTGCTTCAAAATGAGTAACGTCATCTCAGCGTCACCTTTATGCACATTTCAAGTGCTCTAAATCCATGGCACATGCTTTGTTTTATTGCGGCACTGTTCCTCTAACTGTTCACTGCCTCGGTCTTGTGCTAAGGTTTCCTGATGTATTACAAAGAGGTGTATCACTTATCTCACTTCCCCAGGGCATAAGACCAATGAATCGGCGCTACCGTACGAGCAGTGAGCCAAATGATCAGACTATTGACCAGTATGCCAATCCAGAAATGGGCAATGATGCGGCTTCTCGCGCTAAACAAGGTGGACGGCGTTCCCGAGGTCCTCGTCGTAACACCAGGACTTCAAATAGCGTTGGGGATACTTTGCCAGCTGTGGAATCCAATGAAGTGAGTTACCGATTGCCACTTATATAAATGCACTTAACAAATGTAAGGTACTCCGGTTGATGTCTTGTTTTGGCATCTGTTTATCGGCTTTTCCCAGCTAAGTATCCGGTCACTTTGAGCTTCGAGACCTCGAGCTGCTCACTTAACATTAACAATAGTACCATATTTTTCGCTAGAACAAAATTCAGTTTTCATCATGAGGGCTAATCTTTGTACAGTATACAAGATTTTCTTCTCAGCGAAGTGCTGTAATGTTGGTCGTCAGTAAAGTCGCGGAGGTGACGAACCTCAGATGACTGATTCCCATATTTATCCTTCATGATTTATACCAAGATGTATGCTCTCGGTGTCATCCACAACAGGGCGGTGACATAAAGAGCACAGAGACAGTAAAAATTTACCGGGTTTAACGAAACGGTGATAGCGTTGTTTATGATTTATGCGATGGGCCGAATAATGTGAGGGTGCGAGATAGTGCCAAACTAAGGTAACTAGTGGTTGTACTCCTAACCTGAGATAGGCGTCCTTGAGATTCGACGGAAATCTTTTGTGGGGTTCAAAAACATAAGCGTGTGATGGAGACAGTCTTCATTATTATCGTTGTGCAGTGAATCAAAAACCAGCCCTAAGGAAAATGGGACGAACGAGGGATTGCGTGTGGGTTGGATGGAGTAATAAGAGGGGATAGAATCATCTTATGTTAAACGCTGACATGGATGCACATGAGCCCATATGCCTCAGGAATCGGTATGGCGAGCAAAAGAGTGAAGTAGTGGGACAAGTTGGGAGACATGTGGCGAGATGAAGGCACTAGGTGTGGCAAAACATTCAAGTCTGCATGAAGCAGGGAATGTGACAGGCAGTCGCTCAGGATGCCTACATTGCAATTTAGGGGGGGGGGGTGAACAAGGATTGAGTACAAGATAAATTAGTACTAGGGGATGTATCTGGGAGGCTAAGTTAGCGAATGAATTGTTATTGTCGTTCAGACTTCCAGTTCTACTATTCAAGTTGCGCTGTTTACTACCTGCGGTAGCGAAGTTTTATAGTGTACACTTGCTCTATCGCTTATGTTTACCTGCGGTTGATTTCATGAGGTGAATCGTTCATCTTTGAAATCCTGAGTAATTCTGTCACTTTTGTTATGGTCAAGCAAGGGTGAAGAATTCCACGGGATTCCTCGGTGCTTTTCGATTTCTAGTATCTCCTTAGAAAGCTTACTTCGCAATTCACCGTTTGGATTTAACAAAAAGGTTTCCCAACATCTCTGTTTTAGAGTGTGCATCAGTACCAAATTTCCGCTATTTCTATTATCGTTTTCTCTCACTACTTTCAGTCGAATACCTAGAGTAGAGCAATATGGTCTGCTTTTGATAGTATCAAAAAAGGAAGATATTCATTTTCGTCCTACGTAGCCTGATCGGATCCAGTTGAATTGCATGACAGCCACCCATGTGTGGTTGCATACTCTAGGAGTCGGCCGGTGAACGATCGTTGCACGTGTTCTAAGCAGCTTCGATCACTCCTTCCGGAATGGTAATATACCATCGAGCCGTATTCCAACAATCGGTCTGCAAGCATTTTCTACGCGATATTTATTAGAGCTTTAGCTGTGGCATGTTCGGCATGGTCCTCAAAGTTTAAAGAGTTCTCACAGTAAAGTTTCAAATCACCAGTACTATGATACTGGGGTGGTGATTCTCTATTAATTGTTGACGATCCAGAATTGATTTCGCGTTCGCGGCATGCCGCATGGCACCTGCCATCAGATAATGACATCTTCCATCTGGAACACCACGTTCATGTCACTGGCTTGAATAGATTCAGAATTATGAATTGTGTTCGGCAAACCGAGATTTTTTTAACGAAAGACTGCATCGAAGACATCGTTAGTACACAACAAGAATGGTGGTCGGTCTACAATACTCCCTACTGGACTTGCTTTCGAAGTCTAATGCTGATTCCTTGCAGTCTTGGCTCGGTTAGTGAGATAAGAATAAAAATACAACGGCAGCGAACACTGATTCAAAAGGTTATTAATTTGGATATAGATTGATCATGTAACACTCGATCACATGCCTCTTACGTATCCAGTTGCACCATTATCTCTCGTAACCCCCAGTTGGACTGGCTGAGTAGGTGTTAAAGTCCAACCTACATATTTTGCAAGGGTGAGAGCTTAAGGAGACATGTTGAAAACTATTTATAAGGTTATGTGGTTGGTGGCTAGGTTTTAATGGAACATGGTCATCGATCTCTCACAATCCTTTGAAGAGGATTGTAAAGCAGTTAGTCTGACTCCTAACCATTGGCTTTTCTGGCATGCATCGCTCTGAAAGCACCTGAAAGTAATACTCAGCATAGCTCAATGGGTCACAGAAGTACGCAAGCCATTTCACCACGTTAACTTTTAATTTCCTCATGCTATCGTCATTGTTACTTGGGTCACTTGAACTTGGGACGTTGGCATTACGATTCCGATCGTTGATGCGACTTGAACCAGTCAGGTCCTGTTGAAACGGAACAATCTTATTGACCCTGTCAACCTGCTTCCATGTTTGACTATGTGCGGTAACGACTCATTATTATCTTATTAAACCATTATTTGGCACGTCGAGGAAGCGCCACTTAACGGTTGTCATCTTTGACATCCCCCAAACGACCTTGTGAAATTACCGTGCTATCGTTTTCCTCACCGTTGTTTTTGAGTTACTTGCCTACATCAGGTATAGTGCATCACTGCTTCTTGTGAGAGGTAGAACAGTGCAAAACAAACTGCCCTACATCCCAGTGATTGACGCACGGACCCCATTTTATGCCCTCAGGTGTTTGGGCAGCACCTCACCCATAGACTACCTCTCTCAATCTCTTCCTCAGTTGCGACCACTGTCATTTGATTTAACTACACTTGTTTCCTTTATTGTATTATTATACCCGTTGGCTGCAGTTGGAAAACACAGCTATTGTTTTCTTACTGCTGGTCCATAAATATTGTGCCTGAGTACTAAGGGTATTTAGGTGGTTCAACAATGGCTCATCACAAGCAGTCCTCACTGGACCGATGAATGCTCACTGCTGACGAGCTCCGAAAAGACACTAGGGCCATCTTGTGTTTCCTGGATGTCCATGGCTGTGTGACTTGGTGGGGTTATTATGAATTCTTTTTTCATCCGGGACCTATTCATATGGCTCATTGAGAGTCTACGGGAAACGGCCACGAATTCATGGAGGTGTTATGTACCTCAGAGCCGTATCGTTTATCGCTTTTCATTTTGGTTCTCTAGACGACCAGGCACTTTCTCTGTGTTAAACCTTCTGTCAGTTGGTCTATTGTCGATATAATAGGACGCCACCAACGTAACCCACTCTTAATCGGATATGGCCGCTGTGCAATCAATGTTGGCTAGGTTGGGTGTTTCACTGTTCGAAATGCACTCATACCCTTGAAAATGCGAGTTGCTGTTACTCGACTTGGCGGTGCACTACTGGTTCTCACTACTGTTGAATGGTCACCGGTTCTAGCTGATCGGTCCATTTCTCCTGCTATCTGGGTATTCCCAAATAGTTACTGCGTGAATCAGCAAAGACGGTGTTGCTTTCTAGAGCCTCAGTCGCTTCCGATGATGACGAATGTAAGTTGCCATCAAATAAATTCCGTCTCTCATTTCTCTGGTGAAGCATTGTGTTCCAGCAGACACTGGAACATCAGGTAAGGGTAGGCTTTAGTCTGGCTGTTAGTCACACCCATGACACACTTGTTGAGAAGTCAGTCACGGGCACAAAATACGCGCGATTATCTGACTTCACCCAGATACCTTGCACACTCAAGTGGGGTGGCCATAAGTAAATTATCTACTCTCTGGTGCATAGGGGGTTAAATATGTTATTTATGCTCATTTGTTCATATCTAGATTTTTTATTATTTGTTTATATTATATATACTTTTTATTATCAACAGTCCAATAAGTAGGTCGGTTGGTGGCCGCTTGATTAAGGCGTTCAACATGTAACCCAAGGTTCACCGCTTTGAGGCTGCGTAAGTGTGGGATACTCCGCAAGACCACCAGACTACTTCACGCGATTGGTGGCCATCAGGCAGCCACTGAATGTTGGTGTGACCCACCGGCGTACTGTTAATCTCTTCTTTCGTTTTTTCTTATGGATAGACATAGATCTATCGAAAAATACTCGGAAATCCCAAGGAAGTGCAATTTTAGCAAAAAGAAAACCAAGCATTTTTCACATGCCTAGTTCCCTTTTTATCGTTTTTCATATGAACAAAGACCATTCTACACCCAGTTTTTCCACAGATTCCGTTTGCGAGTTATATCTTCAAGCGTGTCCAGTATCTGCCACTCCTTATCCCTGGGTCCCCAGACAACAAGAAAGTACGGGTCCAGCGACGACTAAACGTGGCGCCAGCGATTTCATGTGCTGTCGCCAATTGAAACACTGACTACCCCTCGATCTCCTCCACACCAGTCTTGCACGAGCGAATAGGGTGCGCTGCAGCGAATGCTCAGGCGCCATGTATAGGACATAACTGAGCCCTCTCAACTGGTGCAACAAAAGCAGCTTCTTAAACGGAATACTGGCATTCCTCGATGCACGACGTCTAACTCGGTCTTGCCACCACACACGGGCGATCCTCCCCAAACCACCATTGTCGAAAGCGGACAGATGCGCATATCATCCACTGCAATCGTTCAGGATTAACTTCCACACAAGGACATCGAGTACACGGAGACACTGTAAAGGCAACTCTTTACCTTGTTAGGGACGTCCCGACGACGCCCCAGCCGCCTCAATATAACAAATGCATACCGGGATTCAACACTACGGCGAACATTCTTCCTGCTATTTTCACCTACAGCTACACAACTGCAAACGGAGGCGAAATCATCTGCCTGTTCGAAATGTACACATTTAAGAGTGAGCACAGGAACAAATGTAAGCGAATCCTGAAACAGAACTTTACACTGCTTATGCCGTACCTATATGCGTTGAACGCCAAACGACTCAATGAG